TATGTATTGTTTAAAAGTCGGATCTGAAAAAATCATATCTAGCATTTTTGTCGCCTTCAAAAATAATTACCCATATCAAATAATAATCTGTTTCAATTAATGAAAGGTTTATTTGGATCATTAATATTTATTGAATATAATTCTATTATGTTGTCTATATAGAAAAACAAAAAAACAAATAGTAGATGTTTTTTTACTTAACACCAGTTAGCTAATATTTCTAAAAAAATGACGACTACAATAAAATAAAATCTTAACGATATTTCAAAAATCCATATAGTTATTATAATTTTTTTGCATTGTATGTACTGTATATAAGTAGAACAAAACTCTGAAAAAAAAATGTTCAATTCTTTCGGGTCTTTTATTGAATAAATGGCGCATAATCTTATCTATCTCTATAACTCCTTATTGGTAAACTTTTGTAATTTCAATTGCTCCTCGTCACTATATCATTGTTTGCCTGATCCCTTAGAATCCTCCTCAATATCTTTCCCGAAGTATTTTTCGGAACTTGATCAATAAACACCACGCCGCCTCGAATTCTCTTATGTGGTGCCACTCTCGAGGCAACAAATTGTACAATGTCTTGTTTCAGATCTTCAGTTGGCTTGTTGTTCCGCTGTGGAGTGACGTATGCTAATGGAAGTTCGGTAGCATCTTTTTCGGAGTAAACGCCTATCACCGCGGCATCTGCCACGGAGGGATGTGTCAACAGGAGCGCTTCGATTTCTGCGGGAGCCACTTGAAATCCCTGAAAAAAAATTTTTTTTTGGTTCAAAAATATAATTCAGAATACTTTGGAAATGCATCACGCAAAGAGAAACAATAATGGATCGACTTAGCACCTTGTACTTTATCAATTCTTTTACACGATCTATAATAAAATAGTACCCTAGTGTAAACGAAAAAAGTTAATTACGTAATAGGAATAATGAATTATAATATGGTCAACATTTTACCATCAGGATCAATGATGGCAACGTCTCCAGTCCCGAACCATCCATCCTTATCAATGGCTCTATCTGTTGCTTGTTTATCGTTTAGGTATCCCTAATAAATAGTAAGCAACTTTTTAGTGTGTTTGTCAATATTGAATTAATATATTTAATCACCTTCATAACCATGGGTCCGCGAACATACAACTCTCCGGGTTCGTGATATCCAAGCTCTAAAAAAGGACCTGTATTGAAGACAGAATTATAAATGCATAAGAACGAATTTTCTGTTATATTTACCTTTTCCGTCCTTCGACAATATTTTGGCTTCAATGTTCGGAAGAAGAACTCCTACAGATCCTGTTTACCCAAGAGAAAAAAAAAGACAAACTTTCTGTTCAATAAAAAAAGGTATAAATCACCCAATTATCATAATAAGCAAACCATGCCGTTCACGAGCTTCTTCAAAGGTCCAAGATGAGAAACCGGTGAAACCTCGGTAAGACCTTTTAATTAAACGACGTAAGTGTCGCGAAATTTCAAGAAAGTCTTATGGGAACCAGATTCCGAGTTATTTCACAAACCATACCATAAACTTGTTGGATGGGAATCTTATAAATCCTGTCAAAATCGTCACTCAGCGACTTACTCAGCGGCGCCGCACCACAGATGACATGTTTTAAACTTGACAAATCGTATTCTTTTGCTATCGGGCTTTTCACCAACAACAAAATGATGGGAGGCACGAGAGGAACGATATTAACCTTGTAATCTTGGATTGCTCGACAGAGGATTGACATGTCAAATTTGGGGATTACTACAGAGGTTGCGCCCTTTTGTGATTTTCCATAGAGATGTTGAAAAAATATGTAAGGACGAATATATTATTCTGGACGAGAATGGCGTATAATAAGCAAAGGAATAGTAATACCAAAGAAAAGAGTATATACCAATTGTAGAGCCAAGTGTAAAATAATGTTAAGTGCGTACATATGATAGAATGGCTATAAAATAATTAAAAACAGGGAAAAAACATTTTTAAACATAACAATCAAGTCGCCTTACCAAGACCGCAGCATAACAAAGATCCGAACACAGATTATCTCCTTCAAATCCAATAATCTGAGAGACATTGGCCACCATATTGTAATGAGTGCTTTCGACTCCTTTGCTCTTTCCTGTGGTTCCTGAGCTATAACATAAATATGCAGTGGTGGTACGAATTTCTTCGGCGGTGTATTCGACGGGCACTGCCTCACGCGATACAAATAATGTATTATAGGAAGAGATACCGTTAATTTCATTTTTACCGAATACAAAAATTCTGGATTCCGGTATCTTTGAGTTAACAGCTGCTTCGATGGCGACGGATACACAATCGGGGTGAACGATTATCACCGATGAGCCGGAGTCGATCAATTGAAAGGTTAGTTCTTTCGCGGTGTATGATGGATTGGCCGGGGAAATCTTTCCACCTGTGATGACAATTATGGAATAGTCGATCCTCAAAAAACAATAGTGTACTAAGAAATTTACAGACTTAAAATATACCTGCCGCTAAGGTACCATATATAACCGTTGCATAGTCGATCTAATCAAAGATTGGTAATTATTCGCAAAAAGAATTGATATCTCATCGCATATAATTTCTCATTATTCACCTGGTTAGGAGAGTAAACACACAACACATCGCCACGTTTAAACCCAAGATAATCTTGCAAACCCGCTGCAAATCTTTTCGAATCTTTCTTAAATTCACCAAAGGTTATTTTTCTATGAGTCACCGCATCGACAAAAATTGGTTTTGAATCTGGAATGTTAGGGTTACTGGTGATAAAATGATAAATCCCAAGATCGGGAATTTTTACATCCGGATAATGAGACCGAAAGACACTCATTTTTTCGTTAAAAACGCTTGGCACTTAAATAGAAAATAGAGACAATGAGAATAGTTGATTGTGAAAGATGGGTCGCCTCTTTTATAAATCAAATAAGCTAATCACGAGATGCGCAATTGCATGTTTATCTGTCATCAGTATTAAAAAGGTTGGAATGTATAAAAACAAATTCCGACAAGTTTTTTAAATGCATTTGTATTTAGCAGCCGGGGGGTTATTTTTAATTGGATCTCGTAATATTTTTAGACTTATACAACTCAAATGTTCTTTTTTTAAACATGGCAAAGGAAAAATGATAATTTATATGTAAGGGTGGAAAATCAACTTCGATTGGAAACATGTCAACGACGAAGTATCATAGGATTATTGCAATTTAGCTGGGCGCCAGATTTAATAAATTTTCAGTGAAGAATGAGAAACAGAGTTCGAGATCAATATGATAATCCATTACCATTTAACATTATTTATTATTTGCAAAAATTACTTCTCTTTATGGTCATCATATTAGTTTCGCATTTTCACATGAAAATCTTCACGAACCGCCAGCAATGAGGTAATTATGTGTAACACTGATCCGTTACTCTCAAAGTACGCGCCACTTCGAAAATCGTGAAATTCACAAATGCCGTAGATCCGTGTGAGTATCCTTTGTTTGCATTTGGTGCTCTCGGTCTTCTAGAATCAACGTTTTGGTAAAAAAAGCCACCCTTTACGAAAATCAAAGAATAAATATTACTGAATCAATATTACTAAATTGACATTAGCTCGGTAGTTAACAACAATGATTTGAACATAAGATAAAATGAACCAATCGTTTCTTTTTGTTAGTATACGATATGGACATAGGGTAAGGGCTGCAAGACAAAGAATGGCGCATAAAAATATTAAAAGTATTTTATTATTAAAATTTCTTCCCACATATAATTCGATTGATCAATCGTGTTATATAAAAAAAAAAAAAAGGGCCGTCCCTGCTGCTACCAATAATATTCTGCCATTATATGTAAATCTCATTTTAATCTCTGCTGCTTCAAAAAATCTCGCGCTTTTCTTATACTTTTTCGAAGGAGATGACTTTCGAAAGTTATTTTGTAAGATTATTTTAAAAGACGCATAAATATTTTTGAATGCATAAAAGATCATCTCATTGGTGTCGAGATATAACTCTTAATTTGGATAAAAGGTAACTTGATCATAATAAATTGCTTACTTTGTGATTTCGAAAAAACGACAAACTCTTCTCCAAAGAGCTCGCGCTTGTCATTAAATCTTCGAAAGATCAATCAAAAGGGTCCTATGCTTCCTCTTTCTCACTTACTATTCTCTCTTCTAAGCACAAGAGCCATGGTGGGGCCGTTATCATTAAGCTTCGTATTGGTAGCCGCAGTTATTCTACTAATTACCACTGTCAACGAAAAGACATCAATAACTTCGTGTTCGACATCTCCCGACTGTTATAACGATTCTCAAGACGAGGACGAAGAAGAAGTCGATGAATACGATTATTTTAGGGATTATGACTGGAGTTATGAGTGCTATGAAACGGAGGAAAGTGATTCTTCGAAATCGACAGTTGGGAATTAAATAAGAGAAAGGTTGAATACAAAAAAAAAAGACAGTTATGTAGCGAAGAAAATTTTATAAAGATAGATAGCCGCTGAGAGGATACGGTTGGACTCAAATATTTGTAGATAGAGTGACATTTATTTATGTAGATATTTCGTTTTCAAGTTCTCCTTTGCAGTTTTTGCGGGATTCTATCGATAAGAAAAATACAGTTACTTGATATTGTTTCTAAAATTGGTTTCTTACATACACACTTACAGTTCTCGCGAAGGGGCACAAATTTAAAAATCTCCGTTTTTTTAACACGAGCTGGAAATGCAAAGCAAATAAAAAATTTCTCTTCCACGTGACAAATCTTGGAGATCGGAGAAGTGAAATTTGTATTGAAACAAAGTTCCAGCTTTTAAAGAATTCACATTTAAGTGCAAGGGTGAAATAATGTGAAGAGGCTCACTATATAATTATTAATATACTTTGATAGGCAAAAATTTCCATTGAGAATTTTGAAAAAATCGTATATACAGTATAATAATAAATAAAATATTGAAATTTCAAATATTTTATATACTGTATCTATATTTTTATTTAAATTAAATTAATTACTACATATTACAAAATTTAATTAAAGTCAATTTTGAAATTAATATTTTTGTCAATTAATTAAATATAATATTAATTAATCAACTGTTATTATTATAAAATAAAAGCTATTGCAAATATTTTTAAAAATAAATAAATAAAAAATAAATAATTTATAGGTTTTTGAAGAACTCAAGAACCTTTAAGATAACTGGTGCAATGGAATGGGACCTCTGGTTGAAGTCTATTCAAGTTTGAAAATCTTGCTTATCCTTCAGTTGCATGAGAAAAAGTCTGTGACAGTTCTCTTTTCTTTTGTTCTCTTGCATCCTCCTTCTCTTTATTATATTATAAAAACCATCCATATTAATATCATTATATTTACTAAATCAAACACCTTCCAAAAAACACACTCAAACAATGTTGTTGGGTCTATTGTATACATGTGGTGTAAATTATTTTGCTGTTGACTCAATTCCCAAAATTCTCAAAAATAATTGCGTCATGACTCAAT